CACACATATTCTCCTTGGAGGATTTTTTTAAATTTTGAAAGAATTTTTTTGTATATTCACAAGATCTTTAAATAATTCAAAACTAGAACTTGATGACAGAAATACACTTGGAATTGGGGACTGGCTTGCCACTGGCAACCTCTGCTTAAACCTGTTCCATGTATACATTGAAAGTGAATCCAACTCATTCATGTATTTCCCATCAGATAATATGCATGGAGGTAAAGAAATGTCAGCAAAAATTAGAGCTAACCTGCAAGAATCTTTTACTGTATCAAACTTGGGGAGTGACTAGTTACACAGACATAACATTGTGAAATAGAATCATTTCTCTCCAGTTCTTACTTCACGCTATCACCTCCATTCTAAGGAACAAAGAGGAAAAGTAAAAATTGATGAAGAAAATATATATTTAATATTTGCTATTAGTAGCCTTAAAAGTTTTGTTCTTAATGATTTAGCTGTTCTAATTTATATTTATTTTAAAATTAACTATACGCTGAAAGGTGAGCGGTGCTTTCTGGACCTGTTCCCTTACTTCATTTACAATAGTCGGCCTGTCAGAGAATTATGTCAAACCTTTACAAGCCTTTAATCTTTAAAGTGCAAAGAAACCACTATCTACACAGCTCCACGTGGGACACGAATCCTTCAACTCAGTGGTCAGTACCTCTGTTAGTTGTGGGTAAGACTAACCGGCTGAACATTTCACAAGAAGTGACCTCAACCTCCAGCCAAATGCTGTGGCTGTGAAGAGATGACTTTTTTCCCTTTGCAAGGAGAAGCTGCTGCTGCAGCATCTTTTGGAGGCCCTGGCAGGGTTTCAGGCCATGTGTCAGGGGAACCCTTGATCGCATCACAGTGACGGAAACCCAGTGCTAGCCTGCGAGGCTTGAGTACTGTCTGTTCACAGACGATCTGGAGCAGAACGGCGGGTGTTAAATAGTTCAAGGGCGCCTTGAAGAAAAAGTGCACTGCTATAGGAGGGGACTTCCAAAGGTCCCAGCAATGTCTCAGTCGCTATTCCGAAGCCTTCTGGTAGCGTTTATAAAATTCAGCCAGTAATGCTCTTGGTTATTTTTCTCCCTGTAGTTTCTTGACTTAACAAGACCTGGAATGGTTAAGTGGAAGAGCTTTCATATATTGCAGCTGGGACTACTGTGAATATTAGTCTCTGGGTAGAAAAACCATTATATTCATGAATACTGTGTTTTTGGTAAACTCCAGAAGTAAACTTGCTCAGCTCTTTTTCATGCTGCTAGTTGTTGATGGCATTTAGGTGTGTGTTTGCTGTGGTGACTCAATTTCCTGTAACGGTAGTTGGCAGTCCTACCTTGAGGTTTCTTGAGTAAGGATGAAAAGGTCAGCGCTTGTGGTCTTAGAACATTTGGGGTTAATATTCCTAAAATTTAGGTTTTAATAATCTTGAAAAAAGCTGTGGTTAGCCATATTGCTTAAAACCTAGAAATCTGGAAAAAAGTAGTATTCTCAGCTCTATACGAATGTTAATAATTTTTTTAAGCAACAGTTTTACAAACCAAGCTATTCTTTACTATGCTGATTATTTCTTATTACTATATAGATGTTGGGCTGGAGCTATAGCCCAGTGGGTAGGGCATTTGCCTTGCACGTAGCCAACCCAGGTTTAACTCCTCCCTCCCTTTCAGGGAGCCCAGCAAGCTACCAAGAGTATCCCACGCACGGCAGAGCCTGGCAAGCTCCCCATGGCCTATTCGGTATGCCAAAACAGTAGCAACAAGTCTCACAATGGAGACATTACTGGTGCCCGCTCGAGCAAATCGATGAAAAATGGGAGGACAGTGCTACAGTGCTGTATAGATGTGCTCTGGCCTTTCCCCCCCATTTACCAGATTTATACAATTCATACAATGCATACACAATATATTAGAATTTAAAATATATGTACATGGGACCCAGAGGTAAAGTACACATTAGACTGTCATAATAACTAATCCATAATTTGGGGCATAAAGTAAATCTTTTGAAATGATTTGTACTTGTTGCTGTACTTTCTTCTTATGTTCAAGTCCTGTATTTTAATGCATGATGTTTTAAAGCATTAAAACTTTTCTGAGTTACTTTTATAGGATTCAGAAATTAAATACTGAAATGTAATAGGTGGTGTGACATCCTGCCAGGTTGAAGGTCTGTATTTCTGAAGAGCTTTGAGAACTGGTGAATATGGAAAGGGCAGTACTTTCTGGGAGGTCACCCCAAGGCCCAGACAGTGGAAGGAGATGAAATGTAGTGGAGAGGAACTTGGAAAGCCAAGCCGTAAAGGATTTCTGTCTTTAACCAGTGACTGAAAAGATGGCAATGAGTAGATAAACACTGGTCACGCATGTCTTTAACCCATAAGACATGCTCCTAAAGACAACTCAAAAAACATAAAGGGAATTTCCTCATAAAATTTTCAGGATTGTTATTTTAAATAGCGGAGGGAGAGACCAAGCCAAAAAGAGAAGCATAGAGTAGCAAATATATTACTATCTCAGTTAGGTAATGCTACACTTACATGTGGAAGATATTGAAAGAAAATGAAAAAAAAGTTAGAGAGCCAGGTTTAATTACTGTTTGTAATCTGGACGGGGTGGTATTACAAAGGGCTTTCTATGTTACATTTTTATGTAATGTTTCAAACTTCTGGAGCAATAGCACAGCAGGTAGGGCGTTTCCCTTGCACGCAGCCAACATGGCCCACTGAGTTCGATTCCTCTGCCCCTCTCTGAGAGCCCGGCAAACTCGTCGGCAGGGCAGAGCCTGGGGCAAACTACCCAGAGTATCTCGCTGGCAGGGCAGAGCCGGGCAAGCTACCCGTGATGAATTCAATATGCCAAACACAGTAACAACAAGTCTCATGAAGGAGATGTTACTGGGCCCGCTCGAGCAAATCGATGAACAACCGGAGGACCGTGACCGTGTTTCAATTTTTATAACAAGCATGTAATATTTTTACATTTTTTTTAATCAGTGAAAGAGTGGCTATGCAAATAAAACATTTTATGCTATTTAAAATTATCTTTAAGGCAGCTCTGTTAGGTGGAAGAAAAACGCTCCAAACTTACACCTTGTAATTCACCTGGTAAGGCTTATTTAAGCAGTTACTTGTTCACCTTAAGTATATATTTACAGTGACTGGCGCAGGGAAAAAAAAAGCTTCAATGAAAGGGGCAAAATTTAACCTAGAGTCCTCAGAGTGAATTAACAGTTCCAGCAGCGATGTGGCAAGGGGAACAAATCCTCTGAAAGTTATCCGAATTTTTACAAATTTGATTTTTTTTTTAAAACAAAATCGTATCTGGAAAACCCCAGGATTCTGAGATTCCATCCACGAAACTCTTGGTTGAGACATTGGTCATTGATGAAGTCTCAATAGGGCAGAATTTCTTTTCCAGTACCAAGAGATTGGAAACAAAGAAAAGGAAACATCTCACGGAGGCGTTTCCTCCTAAGTGTCTTCTTTCTCATCGACCTTAACAAAAGTTCTATAAGACGGACCCCACGAGTTCAGGTTTGCTTTTTTTTCCTCTCCAAAGGCTTCGCTTCTCCGTCTGTTTATGGGTGCAGCCGGTAGGTGATGAGCATGCTTGATCCTGGATTCCCCGGGACCCGCTTCTAAGCAGAACCGGCTTGCACGGGAGCCCTTTGGCCTTTTTCTTTTCTCGCGCGTGTAGTTTATTCTGCACGGACACCCTCCAGACCTCCCTTGGCACCATCCAACCACCCTGGTCTCTCATGTGCACGGCCCAAGTGTGCACGTTCGCAGGACGTGTGTAAACTGTCCAGACCATGCGGTGCTGCCCGGTCCCTTGCTCCTCTCCTGGCAGCTCCTCTGGATGTGGACATTGAGCCTGCGGTCAGATCCGTGGACTCGTAAGCGTCCCAGACCTTGCTGGGCACGGTCGAGTGTTTTATTTGCGAGTGTCTGCCCTCCACGAAAGGTCCCAGTCTGGAACTGCACCTGGCGTCGGCTGGGTCTAGGAAGACCCTCCCCACCCCCCCGGTCTTCCTAGAAATGCTTTTGTTCCCACAACTGGAAGTAGGTCAAGGCCAAAGCCCTCCAACCGTCTCCCCCTCGAGCCTGCTGCCGCCGCGGGTCGCGTGGAGGAGCCGCGGCTCGGCGGGGCGCCCGGGGGCTGGGTGGGTGGGGGGTGTCCCCGCGGGACAGGTGCGCGTCCGCGCGCGCGCGCGCACGCTCGCGCACGCCGGTCCCGCCAGAGGCTCCGCGGCGACCGCGACCTTGGGCGGCGGGCGGGTGGCCCCGCCGAGCCCCCACGGACCTCCAGCGGGGCGGGGGAGGGGGCGATGCCCGGGCGGTCCCGGGCCGCGGGGGGCGTGAGCGTTCCCGGAAAGCCGCGGCGATGCAGCGGCGCCCCGAGAAAGCAAACAGGAAACGCGGTGGCCGCGCCGCCGGCTGATTCATTCCCGTTGCGAGGAGCCGCCGCCGGGCACCGGGCGGGCCGGGGAAACGCGAGACGTCCAGCAGCCCGGGGGGTGGGGTGGGGGTGGGGCGGGGGGCGGCCCGGACGCTCCCTCGGCGGGGCGGGCTCCGGGGCGTGCGCGCGCGCCACCCCCTAGCCCCGGGCCCCGGCCCCCGCGACTCCGAGCTGCCGCCGCACCGGCCCGGAGGCGCCTGGTCCCTTTGCCGCCGTCGGGGCCCACGTGCAAAAGGGGAAGAAGAAGAAGAAGAAGAAGAAGAAGAAGAAAAAGGAAAAGTCGGCCCGGGGCACTGGCGCGCCCGCCCCGGCCGCCTGGACCGAGGCGCCGCGCTGGAGCCCGCGCGCCCCGGCCGCCCCGCGAGCGCAGCCCCGGCCCCCCGCGCGCCGCCGCCGGGCTGGGCGATATGAAGCCGCCGCCGTCATGCGCGGGCGCCGAGCATCCGAGCCTGGCGGGGTACGGCCCCGCGGACCCCTTGGAACTCGCCGGCGGCCCCGCGAAGCGCCTGCGAACTGAGCCCCCCTTTCCCTGTCTCTTCGCAGAGGAGGCCTACCAGAAACTGGCCAGCGAGACCCTGGAGGAGCTGGACTGGTGTCTGGACCAGCTAGAGACCCTGCAGACCAGGCACTCCGTCAGCGAGATGGCCTCCAACAAGGTGAGCCCCCCACCCACCCCCCTTTCCCGCGCCCCCAACCCTCGCGCCGGGACGCTGGCGGAGTCCTGGTGGTCCCCCCCCCCCCCCGGGAGATCGGTTGCGGAGCAGATTGCAAACGCAGGCATTGGGGAGTAGATCGAAGCAGCCCAGTGGTGCTGCTTAACTCCTGTCCTGCTCCCCCCTCAGCCCCCGGACCCCCACCTCTAAGTGGGTTCTTGGTTCCGTGCCCCTTGCCTCGCCCGCCCGTCCGCGCGGACAACCGGATCGATTGGAAAACGGTTTCCAAAAAGCAACTTTGACTTAGTTTGATTGCACGAGTCCCCCCAGCACACGAGGAGCTGGCCTGGCGGTGGGAGGAGGACTGTCTCGTAAATGACACTTTGCCCTTGCTGCTGCAGAAGCCCAGTTGTCGGTTGCCTCGGCACTGGCAGGGGTCTTTCTTGGGATGCCCGGTTGGGAATGAGAGTGGCCGGAGGGGGGTCGCTTCCACTCCGCGCTCCAGCTCAGCGCTTGGACCGCAGAACCTTCATTGATCCAGGTGTCAAGGGCCCCCACTGAACTTGGCCGTGCGTGTCCGGCAGAGGACGTCAGCCGAGGGTGGAGGAGGCTCACTGTGATGAGGACCTTTATTCCCGTGAATCTGGGAGAGTTTTCTGAGGTCATTTCGTGCCCGTGATGCTTCAGAGTGGGCTGTTCGGTGCCCTCCTGTGCCCAAGGGCCGTCTGGTTGGCTAATGGGATTTCGAGGGCTGAGAAATTAACCTTCAGCCTGGCGCAGCCTTAGCAAGGTAGAGTCTTGTCAGTCTTGCTGTGTTCTGTGGAATTCCTGTTCCCTTTGATTTTAGTTAGGTGAGGAAATCACTGGGATTATGTATATTTTTAATTACTCTTTGGCGTGGGGGCAGAGAAAGAGGCACGTCCTTGTTGGAGGCAGGTGGCTAAGGGATTCCGCCAGGAAGGACTTGTAACTTTTTGTGGGCAGCTAGTAACAGTTGGTTGCTGCGAAGATACTTATTTATTTTTGGCTACCTGTTTTCAGGTCAGGAAAGTGGACCATTTTACTGTTCATCTATGTGTACATATCTTTCAAGTAGTGGTACTTTTATTTTTTAAAGTTAACTGCAGTTTTTTTTTAATCTAGAACCAGCCCCCCAGATCTGATAACAGTAGTTTTGTAGATAATGTTATTTAAGTGAAGAGTTGACTTTAAACTTAGCAAAAGGACTTTCACTGCCTGCAGGCATTGCCTTAAGCACATTGCCCTACCTATAGGTACTCTATTAAAATTGGTGGCTTTGTTTTTTTCTTTCTCCAGTTTACTGTCGCTTTGTTGACTGTGGTTTCTCACATACCAGAGTCTGCTCTCTTTGCTTCTGTGGTATCTTGTGCCGTTGTTCTCATTTGGCTATCAAAGCCTTACTGATGAGTTTGATGTTCACTGATGAATAGAAATTGTAAGTTCTTTCACAATTTAGTTCATAATAGCAATAGATCGTGTCCAACTGGGTTCATTCCGCAGTGCTTAATTTTCTGGTTGATTCTGCGTGGTAAAAAGAAGGGTGACCTGGAAGCACCTCAAGAGGCCGTGCAAGCATAGTGTTGCTCCTGGTCGCAACATGTTTTAGCTCTAGTTTTTTAGCAAAGTGAGCCTGAACGGCTATTACTTTTCCTGAGTTTATCTTAATGATGAGAGTTCTGTTTGATTTTGAAAAATAAGCGTGAAAAATAATGGTGTGCTGTTAAGTGAATTCAGTGGTCAAGTAATTTATCCACTTTTTGTCTAAAGACAAAAAAGATACCCATTAATTGCTCGAAAATTATTTTAAAAGCATCAGATTTTTTTTTAAAAAAAGAAAAGACTGGGATTTTAAAAGCTTCAGTAAAGCCCTACAGGTTAGATGTACTTATGTTTAGTATTAATTTTGTTGAAGTAGTGCAGGTCAAATGAGAAAAGACTTTAAAAAATTTAGACTTTCTAGCTTTGTTTATGTTTTTTAGTTGAAAATCATTGATAAAACTTTAACGTTCAGCTCAAGTTGAACTCAGTGCAGTTTAAGCCTTGTTTAAATTTTCAGTGTCTAAAGTCATTTTCTTAACCCATTCATTTTCAAATGAGTGCTAAACTCATGTGACTTGTTTTAGGTGAAAAGAGATTAGCAGAGAGGTGGGGGGAACTCTTGTAAAGGTTGTAAAGTTAGCCATCTGCTTGAAAACAAGGGCACAAAGTCACATCCTCAAGAGCTGTAAACTGGGTTGGAGCAGCTGATCTGAAGGCCCCGTGAGTGATGCAGAACCTAAGTCTGAACTGGAAATGTTACAGCTTGAATCACATGTTCACTAGATTATTTGATATCTTCAGTATGAATGAATAAGTCTGAAACTTTGCTGTTTGGTTTTATTACCATTTAGTCTTTTGTGTCTGCTTATTTGAAGTGACCAGTATTTTCAGGGTATTCTCTTTTTATTTTCATTTTTGGTCTTGGGGCCAAACCCAAGCAGTACCCTGGTCTGTGCCTGGGGTCAGTCCTGGCCGTGTAGGGAACCATGTGGTGCCAGGAACTGATCTGGGACTCCTGCGTGTGAAGCATGTGTTCTTCCCCTTGAGCTCACTCTGACCCAGGTTATTCTCTTGCCTTTCATTTATAGGTATAAATTGCACAGTAAATACGAGGAAGAAACTGGATTTTTAAATGGCCAATATCATGGAGATGACTATGTATTTTAAGAAAAAATTGATTCCTCAAACCTACTTAGTATACTTTGTTAATAGATGCTTTCTAAAATCTTAATAAATCTAAACTATTAACTTTTTTTTTTTTTTTTTTTTTTTTTTTTGCTTTTTGGGTCACACCTGGCGATGCACAGGGGTTACTCCTGGCTCTTCACTCAGGAGTTACTCCTGGCGGTGCTCAGGGGACCATATGGGATGCTGGGAATCGAACCCGGGTCGACCACGTGCAAAGCAAACGCCCTACCCGCTGTGCTATCTCTCCAGTCCCTATACTATTAACTTTTAACTGATGGCTTTAGAAGCAACTAACTCTGATTCCTAATTGCTATTGTTATATACTTAATTGTAATGGACAATATTGATGGTATTAATCTGCCAGAGATTTGGATAGTTTTCTTTTGGGACCTCTCTGCTACAGCTGGAGACTTTGTTAAGGTCTTAAATCTTTGGAGCCAGAGAGACTACAAGTTGAATCCTGATTTTGATATGTGCTTTCTGATTAACAGTAGACCAATGACAACAATTTTTTCAGCTTCACTGTTTCATTAGCATAAGACAAACACAATGATCTTTTAAGAGTCTATCTAGGAGTTTGAAAGAAAGTATTTAAAATATCTAGTAAATACTGTCTGTTAGTAGTAGAACACTTGTTATTAGTATTTGGGATTTCAGTCAAATTTCAGTTCTGTGGCCAAAATAAATTGTTATTTTTTAAACTGTTCAGTTGTAAATTATACCTGACACTAAATTTTGTGGATTTTTATAATTCTTTTTTTTTTCTGGCTTTTTGGGTCACACCCGGTGATGCACAGGGGTTACACCTGGCTTTGCACTCAGAAATTACTCCTAGCAGTGCTCAGGAGACCATATGGGATGCTGGGGATCGAACCTGGGTCAGTCCCGTGCAAGGCAAATGCCCTACCCGATGTACTATTGCTCCAGTTCCTTTTTTATAATTCGTATAGGTTAAGTATCCTTAGTGCATATTTCTGCTATTAAAATGCTGAAATTATATTCATACATTTTATATGAAGTTTTTGAAGTTCTTATTAGAAATTTCACTGTCACTGTCCTCCCGTTCATCAATTTGCTCAAGCAGGCCCAGTAACGTCTCCATTGTGAGACTTGTTACAGTGTTTGGCATATCTAATACATCACGGGTAACTTGCCAGGCTTTGCCGTGTGGGTGAGATACTCTTGGTAGCTTGCCGGGCTCTCTGAGAGGGGCGGAGGAATCGAACTCGGGTTGGCCATGTTGGTAGCTTGCAAGGCAAACGCCCTACCCACTGTGCTATCGCTCCAGCCCAGAAAGAATAGTGAAATATTTTTTTTTTAAATTTTTTTTAATCCAAAACTGAAAACAGCATATATTGTTAGGAAATGTTTAGTATAATGTGTGAGTGTGGGGAGGATTTGATGCAGTTCCGTCCCTTTGTTCAGATTTTAGAAAACTAAGAGATCTCCTCCTGCACTGTTTTAAAAGCAGAATGGCTTCATGGTGCTTTGGGGTATCTTTGTCTTATGAAAAGTAAGTTTAGGATCTAAGGACAGCAGACCAGGTGCCTCAGTCTCGAGGTTTTCAGGAATTATGCTGTGGAATCCTAGAGCTTCATTTTTCTCGTGACCTAATAATGCAGTTCCACAGGCTTTCAAGTGCAGTTATGTTTGAAGAAGAAAACAGGACCAGTAGTGATTATACTCCTATTTTCACATATACTTGACATTTTTTATGTTAATTTGTTTCTCCTCTCTAGTTTGGGGAATTTCTAAGACTGTTGTTTTTCATTGCTGGAAACCAACAGGCAAGTTTAGTCATGTTTTCTTTGTAGAATCTATTGTCTTTCTTGTTTTTTCCACAAACTTCCCTGTCATGCTCATGTTGCCTTTTTTTTTCTTTCCCTAAATTGCTTTTCTATTTGCTCTTTCTCAGTGTTTTTAGTGCGTGCTCCCCCTGCTGCTTTCAGATGGTCAGTGCATACCTAACAGGGAATAGGCTTTTCTATGTCTGCAGAGTCTTTCTGGGGGCAAAAGGGCCGTCCAGATGAGTATATATTGCTCATGAAAAGTGGCAAAAAATTTAAGATCTTTTAGCATTTTTTCCAATACAAGATAAGTCAGAATAGAAATAAATGCTAACTTTTCTAAAGAAACAAGTTGGTTCGGAAAAACATTTTCATTTCAGGGAGTTCAAATAGCATCATCATTTTCTACATTAAAATACTAAAACATACTGACGTAGTCTTAAGAGAATTAATTAAGAGATAATTGAC